TTAAAAAAAGATTTTATTTATTTCTCAGAAAGAGAGAGAGAATGTGCATAAGCAGGGGTAGCCATACAGGGAAAGGGAGAATTAGGCTCTCTGCTGAGCAGGAAGCCTGATGCAGGGCTCCATCCCAGGATCCTGGGATCATGAGCTGAGCTGAAGGCAGATGCTTAACTGACTGAGCCACCCAGGCACTCCTATTCTCCCAATTTATAGTTAAGATTTAGTATTAATGATTTGTCCAAGATCACACAGTTGGGATACAAAACCAGCGTCTACATCCTTGATCCTAAGCACCAAATTATACTGCCCCTTAATAGCAAAATAATAACTAAAATCCCCTTGTGCAAGGAAGTTACAAAATACACTTCTAAATAAACCATGGTTCAAAGAAGAAACCACAACTGAAATATTTTTATGTAGTGACAAAAACTGCTAGAGAAACTAAAGTAGTATTTGAGGGACATTTATATTCTCAAATGCTCATATGACAAAGATAGAATAGTTGATAACCAATGATCTAATTTTCTATCTTAAAAACACAAAGAACATAAAATTAAAGTTTCTAAAGAAGTAGAAGGAAGAAAATAAAAATGGAACAAAAATCAATGAAATGAAAAACAGATATACAACAGAGAAAATAAAGCAAAAATTTGCTTCTTTCTAAAGAATGATAAAATTGATAAATCCCTAGCAAAATTAATCAAGACAAAAATAGAGAAAATACAAATTAGCAATATCAAGAATGAAAGGGGACATCACTACAGATCCCATGGACACTGAAAAGAAAACAAGATTTTTATGTTATATATGCCAGTACATTTGGACGAAAATTTAGATGAAATGGACAAATTTCATAAAAAAACAAACTTAACAAAACCAACTCTAAATGAAAAAGAAAATCTGAGTATCTCTTTACCTACTTAAAGAAATTAAATTCATCATTTAGGGGCCCCTGGTGGCTCAGTTGGTTGGGTGTCTCCATTCAGCTCAGGTCATGATCCCAGAGTCCTGGAATTGAGCTCCATGTCAGGCTCCCTGCTCAGTGGGAAGACTGCTTCTCCTTCTCCCTCTCCCCTCCACCTCCACCCCTCTTGCCCTCCCTCCCTCTCTCTCTCCCACTCTCTCTCTCAAATAATATCTTAATTCTCAATAAATCTCAAATAAAATCTCAAATAAAATCTTAAAAATAATAATAAATTCATTTAAAATCTTCCCATGAGAAAAACTTAAAACACATATGACCTCACTATCAAACACTAAACAAAGCAAAACAACAGCTCACCTTGCAGCAATCTTTTTTTTAAGGTTTTTTTTTTAAGATTTTATTTATTTATTTGACAGAACACATGTAGGCAGAGAGGCAGGCAGAGGGAGAGGGAGAAACAGGCTCTCCACTGAGCAGAGAGCCCGTCCCAGGACCCTGGGATCATGACCCAAGCCAAAAGCAGCTGCTTAACTGACTGAGCCACCCAGGCGCCCCTTTGCAGCAATCTTTTCAGAGAACAGAAGAGGGAACAGCTTCCCAACCTATTTTAGAAATCATCATAATCCCAGGGGCACCTGAGTGGCTCTGTCAGTTAAGTATCCGACTTGTTTTGGCTCAGGCTATGATCTCAGGGTTGTGACATCAAGCCCTACGTTGGACTCTGCTCTCAGCATGGAGTCTGTTTGAGACTCTCTCCCTGTACCTCTCCCATGCTCACTCTCTCTAAAACAAACAAACAAACAAACAAACAAATTTTAAAAGAAAATCATCACGATCCTGATGGCAATGCCAAGAATATTTTAAGAAATGAAAATTACAGGCAAATATATCTCATGAACAGAGTCAATAACCCTAAATCTGTTTTTTCACTCCAGGCTCAGTTCTAGGTCATTTCTCCTCACTGTGAAACCTTTCCCTAGGATTCTATCCACACACGTGGTTTCAAAGACCATACTTAACACAGATGACTCACATTTTTCTCTTCAGTCCAGACGCTTTCCATCCACCCCACCCACCTTTATACCTCTACCCTTTCTCACCTGCACAACTAAAATGGCATCCTATACAGTCTCTCTATATCTAGTCTTGCCCTGGTCCCATCCATTTCTCCCTACACCACAATCAGGGTGATCTTTTCAAAATGCAAATCTTATCATTCTACTACTGGAAATCATCCAGCGGCTTCCTTCCCTTTTTTGGATTAAAACAAAACTTTTGTCTATGAGGACCCACCTCATTCTACCCCCTCCAATTTCCTTAGCATCATTTCAAACCACTGCCACTTTGGACTCTTGGCTCCAGCCATTCTGTCTCTTATCACATGGCCCATTTTCCCTGCTCACAGTTTTGTTTTGTTTGTGTCATGCTATTCTCTACCTAGATATTCATTCTTTCCCCTCAGACCCTCCTACACCAAATCCAAACTTTCTAGTATATACTCTTATAGTATCTCTATCCTTTAATTTCATTACCTATCAAATTTGCAGCTTCACATTCCATTCATGTAATGATTTGCCTACTGACTCTCTAACCCATTGGATTTTAAGCTACCTGATAGCAAGGACCTATTTCTCCTCACCATTCTATCCCCAACAATGAAGGTTGTACCTAGCTTACAGTAGATGCTCAATAAATTATATGTTGAAGTAATGAATCTTTTCCTGTAATGCATTTAATATGCATTCAATTAATGTGAAAAATTTTCAGTTTCAAAAGTATTTTAAAAGTACAGTAGAAAAAAAGGAAAAAATACAGAAATCTTTTATATATCAGGTGCATATCTTACTAGCCAAATGTAAACTAAATGTTCTTCATTTGAATTTATCTCAGTGACTTATTTTTAATAGGTCAATAGAGTTTTTAAAAACTCCAAGTCTCTCTTCAAATGTCTATAACACATCACAGTTTAGCCGAACCTTTCTTCTTCTTCCTTCCATCACTGTAGAACACAAATAACTAAATGTGGAAAGTGGTAGTAGTTAAACTTATATTTGGTAAAGAAAAGAATCCTTTCATAATATAGGTTCTAATTCTTGAATGGCTCTATTATAAAAGTTGGAACTCAGCAAATGGACTTTCTTGAAAGCAAGTGTACCCATAACTGGGGTAGGGGGAGAAGGAAAGAAAGGAGAAGGGAGAAATGGAAGCGTTTCTGGCAAGGAGTAACAAGAAAACAAGCTCTCGTGCTGCTGTTACTCTCTCCTTCTCCAGTGATATTTCTGCCTCCATTTTTCTATGACCCACCTCAAGCCAGAGAGGTGCAAAATACTGATCCGTATTCATTTGGCATTCTATTTAAGCAGTAACAATAGGGTGAAACTCTAAAGCTACTTTGACTGCAGAGATAATTCTTTAAAAGGAATTAAGTTGGTACAATAGTATACATTGTTAAAAAGTTAATACTAGCTCCAATTTATTCTACTTACATTCTTTAAAATCAGCTTAATTTTCATGACTCTGTGTCAGGCAAAAAAAAAATACTACAGTAAAAAATGAATATCGGATTGACTACTAATAGGTATGGGATTTCGTCTGAGGGAATAGACATTTTCAGGAGTTAAATTGCGGTGATGGCTGAACAACATAATGAATATATGAGAAACCACTGAATTGTAAATTTTTAAATGGCAACTTTTATGTGAATTACATCTCAATTTTAAAAAATGAAGTTATTATGAGGAGCCTTCAAAGTTAAAACTGTTTCTTCTCTAGTAATCTAAGGTTATGAAGAAATAAGACATTCATCCTTAATTAAGAATAAAGAGTTTTTCAAGCTGGCACTAAGGACAAAAGTACCAAAAATTCTAAGATAATATCTGGAAGTTTCTTCTTACTTTCCCCCTTTCCCTAACCACCATGCTTCTTTTTGTGGAGCCTTCTCATTTCACCTGATATTGCTTACTAAAAATCAATGACGTTTAAAAATACACAAAGCTGGGGGCGCCTGGGTGGCTCAGTCATTGAGTGCTCTGCTCAGGTCCTGATCCCAGGGTCCTGGGATAGAGCCCCCCACCCATCAGGCTCCCTGCTCAGGGGGGAGCCTGCTTCTCCCTCTCCCACTCCCCCTGCTTGTATTCCCTCTCTAACTGTGTCTCTGTCAAATAAATAAATAAAATCTTTTTAAAAAAAGACACAAAGCATCCCAAATCAGGCGAGGGTTTTTCTCCTTCATCAATGTAATTTGTCTCAAGCTTGGATTTTCTAGAAACTGCTCATGGATGTGAGAACAGCTGGCTTCTTTTCTCTCAGATTCTCCTCCACCAAGTCAACAGGGTTTTGTTCCAAAATCAAAATACAGCTGAATTAACTTTTCAAAACTTAGCTGATATAGGCTCTGATCCTGCCAATTTAATGGAAGTACTGAAAGCTTAACTGAGGTTCAAGAAGCAAAAAACAAACAAAAAAAGCAGGTCGATTTTTTTAACCTGCAATAATCTGTTCCTTATCTACTTCTCCAGCTTTGTGTCAAACGACATCCTCACCTTGCAGTCTCGGCCCCAGCAACTTCATTTATTCCATTTCCCCTGCCATTCACAGGGCCTTTGCACATGCTATTTCCTCCCCCACAAGACATTCTCTTCTCCCCTTTATCTAGTTGATTCCCACTCATCTTTAAAATATTCTTGGACCTAGCCAAACTACCGAGGGAAGAATCTTCTCCGCCCTGGCACCAGGAGGACATTCAATACACGTGGAAAGTTCTATCTCTGCCGAAGAGGTTCCAGGGCACCCTAGACGTGATTTCATTGTGATAGACCTCTCATGAAGATTTTCGGAAAGCTAACGGCGGACTGCCGGACCATCGCACAGGCTTTCTCCAATGCCTGGAGGAAGAGTTCACAGGCCGGGGTTGGGGTGGGGGGCGCTGGGGCGAGCGGACACTCGGTGGGTCAGGCGAGGGATGCAGGGTCGCCCGGGCGCCGCTCGCGTCGTTCCCCGCCAGGCTTGCGGGGGAGAGCACCCCAGCGACCCTCGGATTCCCCACCCGGACCCCACGCGCCACCCCGCGCACACTCACCATCCGCCCGCACCGAAAGGCGCGGCAGACCGAGCAGGAGCAGCGCCGCGGCCCAGAGCTGGGTGCGGGGGCCGCGTCCCTCGGCAGCCATGGTCGGGGCGTCCACGCGCGGCTGGCTCGAGCGCGGGCTCCCGCGGCGGGAGCGGCTGCGCGGCCACTGCCCCTCGTGCTCCACTCGGCTGTGCGCACTGCGCTCTGCTCCGCGGGCTTCGCGCCCCGCTCGCCGGAGGGAGGAGCGCGCACAGCTCAGGGAGGCCGGGCGCCCGGAGCTGCCGCGCTGGGGCCCCTAACTCCCGGGGGTCTCGTCCGAGGCGCCGGGGAGGCGGCTGGACCCGGCTGCGCCTTCGTGCCGGGCACCTGGAGGCCTCGGTACCAAAAGAGGCTGCGCCGGACGCCGAGCTCCCGGGGCGTCGCCGGGGCGGAGGGTGAGAGCGCGGGGAGGCGGGGAGAGCACAGAGCCAGCTGCAGGGAACCCCCGCCTGCCCGGGGGACCCTCGGCGAAAGGGTGACGCAGTCTAAGAGGCCGGGCTCTCCGGGAGGACCGTTCAAAACCGAATGTCTAATTCTGTCCTCTGCCTCTTGACTTTGCAGTTGGCGTCCTCCCACAGAGCAGGAGCATGTGTGTGAAAAAAGAAGACTCTAACTTGCCAGCCTCACTCTGAGGAGTGAAACGCACGCAACAGCGAGACTCCTCCTAAAAGCGTGGCTTGAAAGTCCCTCAGAGAGGAGCATCTTCCAGACGCTTCCTTCACGGACCTTTCAAGGTATGCCCTAACGTTTCTCAGCACCCACAGCGCCGGCGCGGTTGTCACCGTTTTCACACCTTCCAAATCAAGGCTTCCTTGACCTTGACCCAGGGCCCAAATTCCGGATTCTGTTGGTCAGGGCTGGGAACACACATTCTAAAGTGTCCCACCGAATTCTGCTGCAGGAGCCCCTGCTCTGGATTGGTTCCTTTTCCCGGCTCACCCCCTGTCCTGTTCATAGCATTAGCATCATTCAGCGAGAGGAGGAGGATTTGCATTCTTCGTGCGTGGAGTAATAAAGATCAGTATTGTAACTGGGGCATCCGTGACACTGTACAGTTTACAAATCCCTTCCACCTTAACGTACTGGTCAGCAGATACGTGTAGTGAGTGCCCAGAGTGTGCCTGACCCTGTGGGGGGCTCCGATCTGTCCAAAAAAATGTTCAAACTTAAATGACAGGTACTTAAGGAAGATGAACAAGTGATTGGTGCTAAAAGGAACAGACGTTTGTCCCCAAGACAATGAACTAGGACACAGACATTGAAAAGCTACCTACTTTCTTTTCTAAGGTAAAAACTAGAATTTGAACGCACATTTGGTTTACTACGGGTGTCATTTTTCAACTCATATATTTTTGAAGTGTACCAAAAAGATAATCTCCTCTCCTTGTTCCGAATGTCAACGACAAGGCTATTATTAGTGATTAATTCCTTTGTGAAATAAAACTTTTCTTTTAGGGGCTCCTGGGTGACTCAATCCATTAATAAAGTGTCAGACTTCTCAGTTCAGTTCAGGTCATGATCTCAGCGGTTGTGAGATTGAGCCCTTGGGCTCTGTGCTGAGCATGGAGCCACCTTAAGATTCTCTCTCTCTCTCTCTGCCCCTGCCCTACCCTCTCCCTGAAAACACACATACACACACACACTCACACACAAACACAAAACTGTGCTTTTGAAATAAAAATGTTCTGGGACATTAAATGCGGTGAGACCTGACCATCATTCACATGTAAGTGTAAATCAATTTACTTAGCTACTTCTCTTCTAACAGCTAGCTGGTAACCTAAGGAGTGAGACTTCACATGTCTGAGTGGGAGGGGACCTTTTAAAGCCTGATTATTGCTGAGAATGGAGGGGAGGGAGGCACCTGCTGGAGCTACTAACTGACTCTCTCAGGATCTGTGCCACTAATGTCAATTAGAATAGTCAATTGACTATTACTATCTAATCCTAATGACATTTTAAAGTTTGTCTTTTTTCAGATCTGTCTTGGCTTGTCCTAATTTGGGGAGATGGTATGCTCTAAAGGTTTGGTACAGCCGATTTAGAAAACTCTTTGGTACTTTCCTATACAGTTAAATATACATCTCTCCTGTGACAAAGAATTCCACCTCTAGATATATATCCAGAAGAAATAAAACTTATATCCACAGAAAGATATGTATACAAATTTCACAGCAGCTTTAGTCACAATAATTAAAATTGGAAGCAATCCAAACATCACCAACAGATGAACAGAAAAACAAACCGTATCATATTCACACAATGGACTGTTATTTAGTAATCAAAAGAATGAAATACTCGATGAAATCAAAAGAATGAAACACTCGATAATGTGGTTCCTGAGTGAATTATACTTTATGATTCCATTCATAAGAAGCTCAAGAGGGGCAAAACTAATCTGTGGTGAAAATAAATACTATGGTTGCCTTTGACAAGGCAGGAACACAAAGGAACTTCTGACCTAATGGAAACAGTCTATATCTTGATGAGGATGGTGGTCACATGAGTGTATACATTTGTTAAACCTCACTAAACTGTACACTTAAAATCTGTGTGTTCTCTTGAATGTTGTTTATACCTCAATAGCAAATACTTTAAAATTCGCCCCTATGAATAAGTAGGTTTAATAGAAGAAAGCTTAACAAAAGGACCACATACAGAGATGTGGGCAGGGTTGAGAAAACCAATAAGAAATGGCAGAGGTCTTGACCATCAACTGTTGGAAGCCATCACAACTCTGAGGTCTACAGGTAGGAAGGAAGGTGTTACCAAAACTCAGCAAGAGCCATGGCCATGGAAGAGGTTGCCTGAAAGGAATGTTAGCCATACGTAGAGGGACAAAATTGCTGCCACTTATCTGGTAGGAAGGGAGTGGGGAAGAAATACCCCACCATCTGTCTCCTTGGACCCTTCAGCTTCCTTGTTATGCCTCCTATTGGCTGAACCTTTTGACAGCTGCAGGGCAAAGGAGCTCAGGTGTCAGAGTCCTTACAGGTCATTCTCTCATGGTGCAGAGTTGGTTAGAGAAAGGCAGAAAATGGGACTGGAGAGACAGTTGGAAAACAACCACACAGCCCATCTATTCTTTCATTTGGATGAAGAGAATTCAAAACAAAACGGGAAACACAATGTCCTATCAGTTTCTCTATGTCGATTCAATCATATTCTCACTTGGAGCTAAACTAAAATATTAACCACTGTCAGTGGTTATTTTTACATATGTGTTCTTTCATATAAAAGGAAAAGGGGAGAAGTAAATAATTATAAAATATGGATGCTAGAGAACCATTGCCATAACTGGTCATGAGGTCTTATTTGATAATCAGGGCAACGCTCCCCCCGTCCTTCCATTCTCTGAGCATCTTGGTCTGCATGACTTTTTTTTTTTTTTTAAAGATTTTATTTATTTATTTGTCAGAGAGAGAGAGAGAGAGCGAGCACAGGCAGACAGAGTGGCAGGCAGAGGCAGAGGGAGAAGCAGGCTCCCCACAGAACAAGGAGCCCGATGTGGGACTCGATCCCAGGACGCTGGGATCATGACCTGAGCCGAAGGCAGCGGCTTAACCAACTGAGCCACCCAGGCGTCCCCCCTTTTTTTTTTTTAAACTGGTGGGAGGGATCCAAACTTTCATTCATACTAAGGATCTATCTTCATTAGTTGGCTATGGTTTCTCACTGACTATTGTCATTGGACATGGGAGTTCTCTGGGATCTGAACATAGTCATTCATGCCTTATTATGTAGCAGCAACACAACTTTCCCTTCGTAATCAGGACCAATCACCAATCAGTACAGTGACCTTCTCCTCTGTCTGTTGGAGAGCAATCTTTGCTTCCAAGTTACTAGCACATGCCTGTGTGTTTACTGACGAAAGTATATTCCTTTGCCCACCCAAGCCTCTCAGTTCCCCAATCTAAAGGTTGAGGGGATGGTATGCAAAACTTTCATAGGTGGGTCATTATTGGTAATGGAAGGGAGATCATACCCACTTCCACTCCTTGGTTTTAGACAGTGTGTTCTGTCTATAAGAGAAATGACACCATATATTGGCTGATGGTTTAAGATACATCTGTATCCTGGGTAAGTGTCCTACCAGCTAGGGACCTCAGCTTTCTTTTCTTTTCTTTTTTTTTTAAAGATTTTATTTATTTATTTGACAGACAGAGATCACAAGTAGGCAGAGAGGCAGGCAGAGAGAGAGGAGGAAGCAGGCTCCCTGCTGAGCAGAGAGACCGATGCGGGGCTCGATCCCAGGACCCTGGGATCATGACCTGAGCCGAAGGCAGAGGCTTTAACCCACTGAGCCACCCAGGCACCCCTAGGGACCTCAGCTTTCTATCAAGACACCTACTTCTTGGTAATGAGGCATGTGGTAAAATTCAGGGATATGACTACACTGTCCTACTGCTTTTACTGCAAAATCAGTTTCTTGGTACTAGATGATGTAATACATGATCCGAAGGCAAAGGATGGGGCATTCTAGGAGTCCATGGTAGTAATGCTAGTAGAAGCAAAGCAGGCAAGGAAGGCAATATCATATCTAGAAAAAGGATTTATTCCAATAAGAACAAATAACTGTGACTGTGGAAAAAGGATCCAATACAAACAACTTTTCCCACATGTAGCCAATAGGAGGGACCAGCTAGGGAATTATGCTGTATGGGGACTCATGGTGGCTTCTGCGGTTGGCATGTTGGACATTCAGCAGTGGTGGTAATCAGATCAAATCTAATAAGAGATGTTTGTGTTATTCCACTCCTGCGTGGCCCCCACTTCTGCTACCATCATCTCTACATATATGGTTCTACTACAGAAGTACAGATATGGCTGTAGAAAGAGGTATCTGACAACTAGAGAATGGGTTCCATTCTCCAAGGTGTCCACCTCCTTATTAAGGGCATCCTCTTGACTGAATGCCTCTGGTGAGCCTAGGTTACACATATATTAACAGGCTTCTAATTCCCAGAGGCGCATACTGATATCCTTGTAATCAGTCTTCCAGTCTTGAATTCTTCAGGTCTCTGACCAACTATTTTAGGTATTATCTGTAGATCAGTGCAG